GGCAGCCGGCCACCCCGAAGTAGGGCCGGGCACCGAACACCAGCCCCCCCACGGCACCGACCGAAACGCCCCAGCCCCACAGAGCACCGAAACACGCCCCGCCCCCCGGCACCAAGCCCCGGTGACCGGCCGCAACACCCACCGCGACCGCACCACCCAGGAAAAACACTCAGGCTGCCCCGCCTGCGGCCGGGGCCCACGCGCATCTGCCGCGAACCGGACGCGAGCGCCGCGGGACCCCCCCAAAACGCCCCCCCGGCCAAGAGCGCAGCCCCACACCACCAAGACCGATGCCAACACGCGCAGCGAAACACACCGCGCACAGAATCAGCCCGAGAGCAGAAAAGCCGCCCGGCGCAAAACCGCAAGAAGAGCAGACCGCAGCCGGCACAACCTGCACAACCTGCCTGGTTTCTAATTACTCCTCATCTTAGTCACCTGCATTTCTGTTTTATTTCAGCCCAAGCTATCGGGCCAGATCATTGTTTAGTGTTTTTTTTTTTTTTCTGTTTGGCTGTTTTTAGTTAATTCCAAGGTTCGTGTCCTTGTACTTGGCGGCCAGATTGAGAAGGTTTTTGTGTCTGTCTTGTCTTCTGATCATGTCCTGGTCCTTCCCCATGGAGCCCTCAGGGTTTTGGTTTGGAATGCGGAGAATGTTAGATTTATTCCCGTAAGCCTAGCTCCAAGGAGCAGACCAGTTTAAAGTTTCCTGCAGAAATCCTGGTACAACGTCTTGTCTCTGTTCCCTCAACCACTGAGCCTGCCCATCTGCATCTGAGCTTGCCTGTCTGCATCTGAGCCTGCCTTTCTGCATCTGTACATGTCCGTCTGGGCACGCTTCTGGATCCTTTCTGACTCTGAAACTGCCTAAACACGCTGAGGATTCCTGGATCCCAGGATCTATCTGTTCCTCTGCAGATCAAAACCCCTGGACGGGCTACAGACCCCTGGGTCCTGGAACTGTTCCTGTCTGATATGTATCCCTGTCCTGGATTGGATTCCTGCCTGCTCGCTGCTTGGGGTTGCTGCATCGACACTCTGGGCGGCTCAGGGCCACATCTCGTTGGCAGTGCATCGCCTGATCCTGCCTATAATTAAGAGGATGGACTGAACTGTTACACCAGGTAAGTGACTCACTCTGATAATCATCTCTTGTCAAGATGGAGCAACAGCCCTGACCCCATCATCAATTTAATTCAGTTTAATTTAGTTTATTCCTATCGCGCCAATTCACAACACGTCATCTCAAGGCACTTTACAGTTCACCAGATCATCCAGTCAAATTGATTCAAAGTTTTCCATCTAAGGAAAACCAGTTGATTGCATCGATGCATTGACTCGGATGCAACCCTCACACTCCAGCAGAACCAGGCTCAGTGTGAGCGGCCATTTGCCGAGACCGACTGGGGTTCAAGGAGACAGAAGCAGAGATACAAGAAGCAACTGTAAAAGGCGGCCCCGTCCAGGAAACACACAGCCAGGCAGACGAGCTCTGAGCCAGCTCCCATATCAGAGGATGAAGAGAGCGAATCCAGCCAATCACAGTCAGAGAAACAGGACTACGCTGGAAAAACAGGCCGATCTCCAACTTCTATAAACCAAGGTGTTGAAGGCAGCAGCACAACTGATATTTCTCTCAAGGATGATGTTGACATCATCCTTGAGAGAAATATATCTTTGATATAAGATGGAGCTTGACCATTTAAGGATTTATATGTGAGAAGGAGGATTTTAAATTGAACACCAACACCAGCAACAGAACTCTTAGGAGAAGAGGAAGCAGGGTTCTCAGAACAAGATGGAGCAACAGTTCTGTCTGCATCATCAACACCAGCAGTATGAAGATTATAGAATTAATTTAGAATATAACTGGTTTATTTTTATTTAGATGAAGCTTCATATTTCATCACTTTGTGTTGAAAAAAACAAACAGTTTATCATATAGATAGATTTTGTTTTTTAAAATATTTTGTTTAATAGATTGCAAAAACTAATTGCACTTTTCTTGACCCTTTTCAGGTCACGTTTTTTTTCCTCCCCTTAGTTGTCTTTTTGTTTTTTCCCTATCCCTGGATTCTTCCTCAACAAATAGCGAGCTACCCAACAACCACTGCATCGCAGTAGGATTCTTTCAATTCCCAGTCTCCATGGAACACTTTGACTCTGTCTTCCTAAATCAAGTCTACCAAACAAAAAACTGGAATGAAGACTTTCAGTTTAATCATATTTTTTTAGTGTGTGTACATCACATATATATATATATATATATATATATATATATATATATATATATATATATATATATATAT